AGAAACCTAAGACTAAATAATAAATTCATTATAAGATGAGAGTTAAATTTTTGGTTATATCTTGTCTAAAATTTAATACGACATCTGAAAAATTGATTCAAACATCAATCTCTACTAAAAGAACCAGACATAAATTTTCGGAGCCCGCACATACATGAAAGTTATTTGTTCCCCTACGATATTATCTTGTGACTTGGGTTGCCAATATGTATCTTACTATGCAAACATTTACTTCGGTATGATCCTCACCATTGTCTTCAATAATAGGCTCACCGTCATGCATTGAATGCTTTCATAATCTAAAGATGGTAAATTAGAAAAGTGTTTAATATAAAACACCTTCTGAGTGCATTGGTGTAAAATAATACCCTTTTGGAAAAATTTAAAGGGATATCATTGTTCAAGTTGAGTGGAGTTTTCTTTTCTGAAACTTGATGTAGTCATAGCCATGCATAAGCCAGAGGGCTTGTCAAATAAATCTCAAGTTAAACAGATTGTCATCAAGTTTCTAGGGCTCCACTTTTGTTGTGTTAACATTCTTGGCAGTAGCATAATATTTATATCACTCAATCTCCAAGGTCCTATGTTAAGCATCATCTAAATAATGTAGAGCATATAAATTGACTTCTTTATATACCTCGAGCTTTAACCTATTAAAAAATTTAGATATAACTACCCAAGGCTCCTCAAAGAGACCACAATAAAAAATGGGTTTCCTTTTCAAAAATTCAGTTGTAGTTTGAGTAACTTGTTTGAGGTTCATCCGTTATTCAACTTCCTTCCTTTTATAATATGTCGGTATGTATATATTGTTGGAATCAAAGCTTTATTTCATACTAGTTTAGAATAGAAGATCTTTGATTCCTCACCAAAACCTTTTAGAAAATCCTATTTGTTTTATTGTGAATCAGGTTGACGACTACCCATGTGATGTAAAAAAAGGAAGTCCTCTATCTTATAAAGTTGGTCCAAAAAAACATTTGGATCGTGATTTTCATCAAAAGTAGGACCTTCAGCCTTAAGTTTTTCCCTGTTTTTCATATAATTCAAAATCTTGGCATTTGGATCGTGATTTTCTTCAAATGTAGGAGCTTCAACCTTAAGCATTTATGTTTTTATTATTATTCAAAACCATCACATTTTCATGGTCTAAGGTTGCTCATTATTACTACAAAAAATTTGTCATGGTGGCTATCGTTCAGAAATATCCTCTTATGTCTTCTTCCTCCTTATGAGTATTGATCTGTGTTCATGTTTCTTCAAGAGAAAACCTTCTTCGCCATTGTTGTTATCATAAAAGTGATCATGAGCGTTCCTAGTATTTTTTTCACGATTATATCATTCAAAAATATCTTCTTCAAGACATGTATCCTCTTAATGTTATTTGTCACCGCAGAGGTACAATTGCTTCTAGTGTTGGGAGGCCTATTCCAATAATAGATTTAGTCGGATGATCCATCCTTAAAGGTTCCTAACTAGATATTGAATGATATCCCAAAAGGTATCTTTATTAAAGTTCTTCTGAGCTTCATTTGTATTTCATAGTGATCAAATCTACCAATAATTTAAAGTTGTTCTCAAGTATTTCTACCCAGAGATTTGAAGTCATCCTATGAATTCTAGGTTTTCTACTATTTTGCTCAAATATTCAAGAGAAAACCAAATTCTCATGTTCATCATTAAGTAAAGCAAGTGCCATAGTGAATTAAAGGTAAATATGCAATGAAAATAATTTAAGAAAATGGGAAATTTACATACATAACACAGAATTCTTATGTATTTACCTATCTCACACCAAAACTTTGATATTTACCTGCATACCTCTTTACCTATGCATAAAAAGGTAAAAGTAATAATTAGTGGTACATTTGATGTGATAGGAAGAAAATGAGTGGTTATGCTGGTAAATACGAAGATTTGTGTGTCAGATATATAAATACAAAAGAATTGCATGCTATGTATGTAAATGCCCATAAAAAATAAGCGATGAATGCATCTAATTGAGAAGCTATAAAATGATGTAAATTTAAACTATTTTTTGTTTGATGTCAAGGAGAAATTTTCCAAAATGAGATTATAAAGCCAATGCTTAGCTCATAAAATTTTCTAAGATTTGAAGAACATTAATTTATATTTTTTTGCATAATGGAAGGCAGGTGTAGTAGTTTTCTGCCATTAAACTGCCTCTAAACACATAAAATACTCAAAATTGGTGGAATTCTCCCTCGTATAAGCCATAACAATAGGCAAGCCAGCAGGTAGACACCTAACCTGACTTTATGAGAACTTCCTAAGGACTATGCAAGAATTAATAGCTTTGCAAGCAAAGGAAACATAAATTGAACTAACAATCTAAAAGTTTATACTTGTAAAGAGAACATATGAGTTCAACAATTCTGTAGGTTCTCTACCAATTAAGTTCTTAAATACCTAAAAATATATGGAAACTTTCACAGACATACGATAGTAACAACTAGTTGCCAATACTAGTGTGGGCAACAAAATTTATTTTCAGATATTGTGGAAGGTAATAGATTGTTATTTCATCCGTAACTTCTACTCTAGGCTGGCATTATTGTCGGATGGTCTAGGGTGACCCAATGTGTTTAAAAGATTGAGGGAGATCAAAGGTCAAGCAAAGTTGTGCAAGCAAGAGATATTTGAGAGTGATGGGTATGAAGTGAAGCAAAGCTATACATGTAAGGTCATGTAGGTGCACATTTAGCAGACTACGGCTGCAAGTCATTAGAGGTAGAATGCTATTGATATAAATAGAACATGAAAGCTGTAGTAATGCTTAGGTGGAAAAAAGATAAAGGCAAGAGAAGAACAAACATAAGAGTAAGAGAGAGAATTGAGGAAGTGAATCTCAATATAACAATTCATTCAATACTCATTCAATTGTCTCAACCAAGCTCCATTTTATAGTGAACGGACATTGGGGTTTAAAGCAAATACTACAACAACAACAACAACAACAACAACAAAGCCTTAATCCCACTACGTGGGTCGGCTACATGAATTCTTTTTCTCCATTGCGTCCTATTTAGTGTCATATTTTCATTTAGTTCTAGTAAATTATAATCATTTTTTATACAATAAGCCCAAGTCTTCCTAGGTCTACCTCTGCCTTTCTTAACACAAGTCGAATCTAAAACATCTACTCTCCTAATTGGATCATCAGATCGTCGACGTTTAATGTGACCAAACCATCTAAAGTCGACTTTCTCTAATTTTTTCCGTCACAGGAGCCACACCAACTCTATCACGGATATAATCATTTCGCATTTTGTCCCTAAGTGTAAAGCCACTCATCCACCTAATCATTATCATCTCGGCAACACTTAACTTATTATTATGCTTCTCTTTTAAAGGCCAACATTCAGCGCCATAAAGCATTGCAGGTCTCACCACCGTCTTATAAAATTTTCCTTTCAGTCTAAGCGGTACTTTCTATCACACAAAAGGCCCGAAGCATTCCTCTATTTCAACCAAACCAACTCGAATTCTACTATTAGCATCCCCATCTATATCACCATCACTTTGAACAACGGACCCAAGATATCTAAATCGATCACACCTTTTAATAATTTGATCACCCAAAGTCACACTTCTGTCACACTAAACTTACATTCCATGAATTCAGTTTTAGTTCTACTTAAATGAAGGGCTTTAGACTCCAATGTAGACCTCCATAATTCAAGTTTTTCCTGCGCTTTTTCTCTCGTTTTCCAAGGTACATCCTCTTGTAAATGTCCAGTAAGACCATCCATAACTAAAACAAAAATATATGGGCTTAAAGCTAATCCCTGATGTAATCCAACAAAAATAGAAAAAAATTTGGTCAATCCTCCTTCAGTTTGAACACAAGTAACAACTCTAGTATACATATCTTTAATGACTTGAATATAAGTCATATCAATACCTTCCTTCTCAAGAACTCTCCAAAGGATATGTTTTGGCACCTTATCGTAAACTTTTTCTAAATCAATAAAAATCAAATGTGGATACTATTTATTATCTCTGAGCTCAAACCTCTCAACAAATGTATAGCTTCCATAGTAGACCTGCCCGACATAAATCCAATTTGATTATAAGAAATCTTTATAATGTGTCTTAACCTATGTTCAATTACCATCTCCCATAACTTTAAAGTATGACACATCAACTTAATTCCTCTATAATTTGCACACTCTTGTGCATCCCCTTTATTCTTAAAAATGGGGACCAAAATACTCTCCTCCACTCCTCGAGCATCTTTTTAGTTTTTAAAATAATATTAAAGAGTTTAGTAAGCCAACAAACTCTCAAATCTCCTAAATATTTCCACACTTCAATTGGGATATCATCAGGTCCTACAGAATTTCCAGCATTGGTTCTCTTTAAAGCATCCTCAACTTCTTTACTAATGTGACGATAAAAATTGGGGTTTAAAGAAAATAAAAGAGCAAAAATATGGCAGAAAATAAATTCTAATAAAAATAACAAGAGATGAATTAAACCTAATAAAGCAAAATTCAATTATTTCTTAAATAAAATTATGTAGATAAAGCAATGTTAAATTTAATTAACCATACCATTGATGTCAAAAATAAGTTTGAATCGGATGGCCATCATCAATTAGATGTGCCAAAATTTGAGTTTGCATTTATGCTTTTTCAAATTAACTGCAAGATGGATAATCAAAGCATGTAAAAACAAACACAATCTAACATCACAATCCCTTCCCATTTAAAAATGAAACATTTCCAACCTCTCAATTTCATATTTGTATAAATAAGAAGAGGTCAATCCTCATTATTTTTCCTTTCATTTTGATTCTTTACACTCTTAACAAATGAATGTGCTGGCTTGAGCATTTCATAATATCAACTATCAAGATAACATACTGCCTATTCTTGCTTAGCTTTTAATAACATGAAGTAAACGACTAAAATTGTTATTACAGCTTTACTTTCATTGAAAGCAGCACAAAGATTTAGACATTATGAGATACTCACATAGTCGCAGTCCCCTAAAATTGTCAATGTGTTTGATACCTGGAAAGTAGAGAAAAAAAATAAAGAAATAAAAATGAGATCATTTGAATATTGAACATGTCAAATGCATAATAATTCAACATTAACATGAAAGACTAATAGAGAAGTTGAAAGAGTTTAGCAGGTATGTCTTCGTACTTTTTATCATCCTTGTAAAACTGAATGCAGAATAAGAATTCATAAAGCTGAATGGCAGTTAATAATGAACGTTGGTGCTCATCAACATTAACATCCACTATCTCTTTCAACCAAAGATATGTTAATTAAACAGTGAAATTGGTCCTACAATTTCATGGAGCAGATATGATATTACAAGCTTGATTGAAAATTATGTTTTGACTAAAAGATTGACATGCGCAGAAATTAGGATTTATTAATCACACTTAGAGTTTAATCGGTACAAATCACAAAAATAAAATTTTGTCAGCTCATCCAGACATGTTTTTTCATATGGTGATCGACAAAAACTAGGTGGGCTATGCCAAAAAAGGAGTTTATGGTGCATAACCTTACATTTACAAAGCTTAACAAAAAAAAAAAAAAAAACACTCAAGCTGAAGATGATTTGAATTATAAATATAATATTTCTATGTTTCCTCTGTAAAATAAAAACATTAATACAAAAAAAGAAAACAGTGAAAGAGAAATAAACACGCTTACTTGAACTTCATATAAATCGCAAATAACTGAGACAGAAAGAGAGCAATTCAGCTTGGAACCACTAGCAATCATCTTGACAATGACGCCTTTTTGTGGATCATTCTTTTCTGTTCATCAAACCATCAATCCATCAGTTAAATGATGCTCGTTTTTGTATAAAACACAGTGGAATAAAGTATATATCAAGGGACATATTGAATGCTAATGTAACAATTTTAAACTAGAGAAGTTCAAAATAATTTAAAATATCTAGAACAAAGACCTAGTATTAGAGAAATCCTGTACAAGATGATGAGAAGACTACAGAAAAAAAATTATGATTTATAGAAATCCTAGACAGTTCAAGGTCAACAAACAAGGAAAAAAAAGTTTCAGTCAATTGATAACAGTATTTAAAACAAAAGAATATCGCATCATGCACTGCTTAAATATCTTTATCTTATGTTATTTTCAATTTCACATTAAATTATTATATTTAGCACTGAATTTGTTAGTGCATTTTTTTTGAATATCTGATATACATGGACAAGAATTGGGGAGAACTGATTGAATCTTTCATTCCAAAATGTAATATTCACAAAATCAATAAATAATAACTAAAGAATAATTGCAATAGTCCATGAATTGATGAATAGGTAGAATATTAATAACAAAATAACTATAAAAATTCATGGACTACCGTGTATGTAGTAAGGATCCCATACATCAATGCGTTCGTAGCAAATGAGGAAGAAAGAGTAGAAGTCTTGGTGAGGGTGGATCCTAACTGACAAGAAGTATGCAATAGTTTCACACTCCCCAACGGAATGAATGGATGTATTAATTCCAAATTTATCTGATAATTTTTGAGACTAGCCCTAAAAATTCTTTGGCCAGGGATATCGAGTTAACCCAAACCACTACAGAAAAATAAATATTATTACTAGAAGTATATAGGTGGTTACAATCAAAGACACTTGAAAGGAAAATTACAGAAAATACCACAAAAACTCACAATAGGGTTTGATCCATGGGTGGTAGAGGTCGGCTAGGTGGTTGGAGAGCTGAGGTAGGTGGCTGAAATGGGTTGTAGGTGGTTGGGACAGCAAAAGGAGGGGCTGTAAATGCATTTGCAGCTAAGTGAGGGGATGGGACAGCAAGGGCAGCAAGTGGGGTGGCAAGCAAAGCAGCGAGGTGTGGTGGGAAAGGCTGTAATGGTCAAGGTACGGAAAGAAAACAGCAGGTTTTCTGTTCTCCAGACGAAGGCAACGAATAGGCAATGTGGGGGACTGCAGGGCAACAAAGGCCAGCTGTCGGGGGG